TTTATTATAAGATTATAATTTAATAATAATAAAATATAATTTTATTATTAGATGAATTTATTATTAATTTATTATATATTTTTAATTGTTATTTATTATTCTTGAAATTCTGAAAACTATAGAATCTTAGAACTATGAAATCTATTTAAATTACTAGCTAAGATATATTATTTTTATAATATTTGATGATTTTACAAATACTACTTTTACTATAATACTATTATTACTTTTGCTGGAATCTAATTGCTTATTTTACTAGTATTATATTGCTATTTTCACTATAATTATATTACTAGTTTAGCTATAATCATATTATTTAATTATCTAAAAATATCTACAAATAATATTTTATATAACTAATATTCAATGAAATATGAATATAAATTTAATCAATAAAATATAATAAAAGATTATTCAATTAAATTTATAATATAAATTAATCAATAAAATAAGAACTAAATATTTATATCATAATATTAGTAAATCTCTTCTTATTATAGTTTAAATATATACTATATATTTTCTAGTAGTAGTAAAATTCAGACTCAATTACAATAGTAATAATTCTTACAAGTTAACAAAAATTGTTTCTGATTGCTTCTAAATTAAATATATTTGACTAATGATTACAAGAAATATATTCAATAACTTTTGGATCTAACTCAACTTCAAGAGCAAATTTTATTAATATATTTTTATTTTTTAGATTTTGAAACTTTTTATTAATATACTTTTCTACTTTATTTAAATTATAGAGAAATTTATTACTATAGTAATTATTTTAGGTATTATCTATACTATTTGTTTCTTGTGAGTTATTTATTATTTGTTCTTTAAAGATACTATCTTGTTCAAGATCTTCTAAGTTATTATCAATTTGAAAAATATTAGTACTGCTCAGATGAGAATTATTACTTAAGAAAAAATTATTGCTTAAAAAATGACTATTACTGAAAGAAGAATTATTACTCTGAATCATTGTATTAAAATTATTTTCTGAAATTTTCTTGATACTGGATCTATTTTTTGCTTTTTATTATTGTGTCTTTTATGGTATTAGTTATAGATTGCATACTCATATTGCAAATTATTTTTATAGTAATAAATAAAGTATTTTATATTCTTTATGGAATAACAATCAATACACACTTTGGTTTAAATAGTTTGATTAGAAGTTATTAAAAGAGATAAAATTTTTATTTATATTTATATTTATATTATTTAAAAAGTTATTAATTATTATATAAATTATCTTTATATTGTTACTATGTGATATTTTAGCATCTAATATGAAATATATCATGTTATTTTAAGTATATTTCTATTGGATAGTTAGTAAATATATAATCTATAAATTATATTATCCAAAAAGTTATTAATTATTATATAAATTATCTTTATATTGTCACTATGTGATATTTTAGCATCTGATATAAAATATATTATGTTATTTTAAGTATATTTTTATTAGATAGTTAGTAAATATATAATCTATAAATTACAATCTCTTTAATTCATACTATTTATTTTATATTTTCACACTATTCATTTTTATTTCATTTTATTTCCAATATATTTCATATTATTTCATTCTATTTTAAATATATTTCATACTGTTTATTTTATATTTTATACTATTTTATTTTATTTTATATTATTTATTCTACTTTAAATATATTTTATACTATTTGTATTTAATTTGTATTATTTTCATATTATTATTATTAGTATAAAAAATATATGTTAATCAATTTTCAAAGACAAGTACCACAAGATAATTTATAAAATAAATTAAGTTTTATTTTAAATAAAATAGATTAGTTCTAGATTGAAAAGATCAAGTAATGAATAAATATAGTATATATTTTAGCTAGAAAGATAAATAATTTTTAATTAATTTAGTATTAATAAAGTTTCTGTATTTTTATTCTTTAATAAATATAATAATCGACTTACTATATATTTGTCAAAAGAATTAATTACTTTGTGTTTTCTTTTTTGAATAATAATAAAGATTTTTGATAAATTTAGATTGCTTCTTGATGAAGTAATACTTGTATCTTAAAGAACTTTGTGTTCTATCTTTTATAAATTCTTTTATAATTCTTTTATAATCCTTTGAATTCTTGGTAAACTCACTTCTATTTCTTAAAACTTATATTATTCTTAAAGTTCTTAGTGAACTTATTAGATTTTTTGTGAATTATTTAGCATTTTGATTAACACATAATAATATTAGAAGATTATTTCATAGTTTGTTCAATTTTTCATGCTTTTTCACATAAACATAATTACTATCTACTATTTAGTAAAGATCTTTATTTGTAAAGGTTACTAATAGTAACAATATAAATTACTTTCATTTATTTTGTAATTAATATTTTAAAGATTATATAATATATTTTCATGTTTAAAATATTGATTATAGTATAATTACTATATATATTTTTAAACCTTTATGCTTTTCCAGTTATTTTAATAAAGATCTGCATAATGTCTATTTAGAAAATTTATTATAATGCAAGTTTTTATTCAATAGGATATATTTGTTTCAATTTTGATTTCTGTTTTTATAAATTGAATTCATTAATTAAAATGAACAGTTATTTTTTAATAAACTTTACAATTTTCTAGTATATTAATATTTTGTTCTGTGCATTATAATAAAATATTTTGATTTATTTTGAATTTGCAAGTGGTTCTTTATTATTCAGTAAGTTTCTTTAGCATAACTTATTTAATATGTTTATATTATATTGATTTGAACTAACTATTTATTTTTAAATCTGCAAGTGACTCTTTATTTCCATTTAATATTCAATAAGTTTCTTTAGTATAACTTATTTATGTATTTACATTATATTGATCTGGATTAACTATTTTTAAATCTGCAAGTGGCTCATTATTTTCATCTAATATTTAATAAGTTTCTTGAGTGTAACTTATTTAATGTTAATATTCAGTAAGTGTCCCTAGTGTAACTTATTTAATATGTTTATATCATATTATTAATCAGCTAATAATTTGTTTTAAATTTGCAAGTGGCTCTTTATTTCTATCTAACATTTGGTAAGTCTCTAATTTATTTAATGTATTTATATTATATTAATTTAGACTAATAATTTATTAAAATCTGCAAGTGATTCATTTCTGGCTGTCAATAAGTTTTTTTAATGCAACTTTATTTACAACTACAAGTGATTTTTACTTTTTATCTATTATATTTGACACAATTAACTTTTAATAATTTTTTTAATTCAGACAATTTTTTATATTTTTTTATTTATACTTATTTTCTCTGCAATATTCATATATTGATAATTTAATTGTGAAATATAAAAATTAATTCATTAATAAAAGTTACATAACAATTATTTAACAATCAGAAAAAACAAAATGCTTATTCAAAGCTTTATTTGTTGTGTCAGGTAGGAATAGTGTGATTATGATTGACTGAAGTGAAAATACTGATTTGAACATATTTTTTACCATGGCTAGAATTTTAAAAAAGCAAATTATTTTAATATGTGATTAATTAACAAGTTTCTAATATAGTGATCTTTATTATATGCTAATATATTTTAATAGCAACATCTTCTTTATTGTCAAATTTTGATACTTCATAATCTTGATCAAATATTCCTTGACAAAGAAAAATTTCATGTAAGAACTTTTAAACTGAAAACATATTATGAGAATTATTCACTTACTTTTGTTTTCTAATACATTATTAACATATAAATATAATTACTGTCCTTGTTGTCAAAACCATCACTCCTTTGCCTTTGTATGATATCACTTCAGTTATAAGTTAGTTGTCTTGTCATTTAAAAGCAATACCAAATATAAATGATATTTAATAACTGCTTGATATAGAAACCAATGTAGTTAGTGTAAAGTTAAAATCACAAAATTTCAATATTTCGCTATGTATGAACCGAATATGTTTGTGATTCAGACTATCTGTTTGATTGGCTGAAGATCTACAATGTCGGAGGCAAATACCGGTTCGGCGATGTTCGATATGACATATTGTCATTTATTTTTTGCCAACACTCAAGATTTTCATATGATGTGCTTGACTCGATCCGGATTGCACTAACCGGCTTTAGTGTTCCCCTAAATAAGATTATCTAAATCTACGTATTTAAATTTTTGCTCTTTTGAACATGCTTGTTTTACCTGGCTCACTTGCATTCTCCGAATTTAAGGAAAATTTTCTTTTAGTCAATATTCGAAAGGATTATCCAAATATAAAATCGATCACAGCGATTTATGTACATTTTATTGAACCAAGAGATGCCACTGCAGAAGAAACTCTTAACAACATTGAGTCTTTTGAACGTAGAACCCTTGAAAGCTTGCTCACCTATGGGACTAAGATTGATAGCGTTAGATCCCAAGAAGCGCGCATAAAATATGAAAAGTATTCAGTTGGGGGAAATATACCTAATTTTTTTCTTGTTATTCCTCGACCTGGAACGATTTCTCCATGGTCTTCAAAAGCCACCAACATTGCACACATGTGTAATTTGGAGAGAACTGTAAAAAAAATTGAACGTGGCATAGCTTATTTATTTGAAATATATAACAATGATAATATGCTCAAGCATATTTCCAATCATCTTTATGATCGTATGACGCAAGTTATTTTATCAGAAATCCCAACAGTTGACGTAATTTTCAAACATGGTACACCAGCACCTCTAAAAGTAATTTGTCTCAATGATGATGAAAAGATCATTTCTAGTAATTTAGAATCAGCGCGACATAAACTCCATGATGCTAATAAAGAGCTTGGACTTGCTTTGGCTGATGATGAAATTGAGTATCTTGTAAACGCGTTTGTCGGGAATACTTCATCTAATGAATGTTTATTTAGGAATCCAACAGATGTGGAATTATTCATGTTTGCGCAAGTTAACTCGGAACATTGTCGTCATAAGATTTTTAAGGCCGATTGGACCATCGATGGAACACACAGACAATACTCTTTGTTTGATATGATTCGGAACACTCATATCGAGAATCCACAGTATACAATTTCAGCTTACTCCGATAATGCCGCAGTGCTAGAAGGATTTAATGCGACAAGATATGCGCCTGATTTTAATAACCAATTCCAATACACTATGAGCAAAGAAAAGGTTCATATTGTTGCAAAGGTGGAAACGCATAATCATCCCACAGCTGTATCACCTTATCCTGGAGCAGCGACTGGATCCGGGGGTGAAATACGTGACGAAGGTGCCGTTGGCCAAGGATCTAAACCTAAAGCAGGATTAACAGGTTTCTGTGTTTCTAATCTTTTAATACCAAAAAATCATCAACCTTGGGAGACAGATTTTGGGAAACCATCACACATTGCATCTGCTCTGGAGATTATGATTGAAGCTCCGCTTGGTTGCGCTGCTTTCAATAATGAATTTGGGCGCCCTGCTATTCTTGGATATTTTCGAACATTTGCTGAAGAAGTTTGCTTTTCTCCTGCAAAATTTGAAATTCGAGGATATCACAAACCAATAATGATAGCAGGGGGTGTGGGCACGATAAGACCTGATCATGTTTTTAAGAAACAAATATCTATAGGAGCTCATTTATTTGTATTGGGTGGCCCTTCAATGTTGATTGGTTTAGGGGGTGGTGCAGCATCTTCAATGGCTAGTGGTGCTAGTTCAATTGATCTGGATTTCGCATCGGTTCAGCGTGATAATCCTGAAATGCAACGTCGCTGTCAACAAGTAATCGATGGATGTACTAATTTAGGGAATTTAAATCCTATCGAATCCATTCATGATGTAGGCGCAGGCGGATTATCGAATGCTTTACCAGAACTTGTACATGATAGTAATTTAGGATGTATTATACAACTACGAAGTATTTCAAATGATGATCCAAGTATGTCACCCATGGAAATATGGTGTAACGAATCTCAAGAAAGATATGTTCTTGCTATAGCACCCGAAAATATTAATTTATTCGAGGAAATTTGCTCTCGTGAAAGATGTCCATTTGCTGATGTAGGAATCACGACAAAAAATCAAGTTTTAATATTGGAAGATTCATTATTGAATAACACACCAATTAGTTTACCGATGCAAGTTCTTTTCGGAAAACCACCGAAATTATCACGTACTATAAATACTCTTAAATTTCAACGTGTCCCATTTGACGCTAAATATAAATCAATTGAAGCATCACTATATCTGGTCCTTCGACTTCCAACAGTTGCCTCCAAGTCTTTCTTAATTACAATTGGAGACCGTACTGTTACTGGACTAGTGGCTCGTGATCAAATGGTTGGTCCTTGGCAAATTCCTGTCTCTGATGTGGCTGTTACTATTTCTTCTTATGGTATTGATATAATAACTGGTGAGGCCATGGCTATGGGTGAACGCAGCCCTATAGCTTTGATATCCCCAGCAGCATCCTCTCGTATGGCAGTTGCTGAAACTATCACAAATATTGCTGCTGCATATATACAAGATATATCCCAAATTAGATTAAGTGCGAATTGGATGTGTGCAGCAAATCATCCTGGTGAGGCTGCTGGTCTTTATGAAGCGGTGCAGGCAATTGGAATGGAACTATGTCCTAAACTCGGTATTAGCGTCCCTGTAGGAAAAGATTCAATGTCGATGAAAATGAAATGGCAAGAGAACGGCATAGAAAAGGAAGTTATCGCTCCTTTAAGTCTCAATATTACGGGATTTGCACCTGTCCTCGATGTTCATAAAACTTTGACTCCTCAATTAAAAATTATTGATGAACCTACAGTTCTTGTATTTCTTGATCTGGCAAAAGGAAAACAACGAATAGGTGGTTCAGCCCTCGCGCAGGTTTTCAAGGAAATAGGTGATGAAGCTCCTGATGTTGAGGACAGCAATTTGATAAAGAGCTTTTTTAAGGGTATTCAATCTTTGAGAGGAGAATACGATGATATCATTTTGGCATATCACGATAGATCTGACGGGGGGTTGATTGTGACACTCGTGGAAATGATGTTTGCCGGAAACGTTGGTATATCAGTGGAACTTTCAACAATTGTTGGTAATGACGGGAACATCCCGAAATCGTTATTTAATGAAGAGTTGGGTATATTATTGCAAATTCGAGAAAAAGATATTCAAATACTTGCAAATATTTTTGAGAAGACTGGATTTTCTCAGAAATATATCCATAAAATTGGAAAAGTGACAAATACGCATCTCTTGACTTTAACATTGAATAATCAAATACTTTATCAAGCATCTCGCGTTGATCTGCAACGCGCCTGGTCCGAAACTTCCTTTCGTATGCAATCCTTGCGTGACAATGCAGATTGCGCAAAAGAGGAATTTGACGGAATATTTGATAATCCTGGATTATATTTTGATTTATCGTTTGATCCTGCAACAGATATTCTTTCTTCATCTTTATTGAAAGCTCCTAATGGGCCCAAGCCAAAAGTTGCAATATTACGAGAACAAGGAGTAAATGGGCACAATGAAATGGCCTTTGCGTTTCATTTATCTGGTTTTCTGGCTGTTGATGTTCACATGTCAGATATTTTATTAGGAAAAGTAACTTTACGTGATTTCAAGGGATTAGCAGCCTGTGGTGGATTCTCCTATGGAGATGTACTTGGGGCTGGTGCGGGTTGGGCTAAATCAATATTACTTCATCCAAATGCACGGGATGAATTTTTTCATTTTTTTAATAGTCGTGATGATACGTTTGCACTTGGTGTGTGTAATGGATGTCAATTTTTTAGCCACCTAAAAGAGTTAATACCAGGTGCCGATAATTGGCCATCGTTTAAACGTAACAAAAGCGAACAATATGAATCCAGATTCACCCTAGTAGAAATTGTCAAATCTAATGAAAATAATATCAGAGATGGTAAAAGGAATTCGATTTTTTTTAATGGAATGGAAGGCTCTAAGTTACCAATTGCAGTCGCACATGGTGAAGGCAGAGCAGAGTTTAGCTCCAAGGAACAATTGGATTTATTAATACAACAGGATCTTGTAACGATAAGATATGTTGATAATTATGGAAATGCGACTGAGAGATATCCATTTAATCCAAATGGAAGTGTTGGTGGTATTACCGCAGTACAGACTCCAAACGGAAGATTTCTAGCGATGATGCCACACCCGGAACGTGTTATTCTTAAAAAAACAAATTCATGGTATCCGCCAGATGCTGGTGAGAATTGGGGTGAATATGGACCTTGGTTAAGAATATTTCAGAATGCAAGAGTTTGGGTTGGGTAGCATCACACACACTTTACATATTCGCATTTTTGTAAAATAATTTATATAATAAAATAAAGTTGCAAGCTTTGCCTTTTTATATTATTTTTATGTGACACTGAATTATTGATCACACGTTAGCAGAAGCCTTCATAATGATGATTCCAAAAGTTTGATTGAACTCCGTGTGTGATCATTTTTATCAAGAAAGTAAAAACCCTTAAGAAAATGGCCTCTAAAACAAAAGAAACAACAAGCATCTCCAAAAAAATAGCACAATACGAAAGCTTTCTAAACGATAAATTAAAACCAGATCTCAAAAAAACATTAGACCTGCGAGACGCCGTGTATGATCAAATTACTGAATAGTATGAAAAAATTCTCGATTGATTGATTATTGTGTACTTTTCGAGACATTACTAAACAAAGATATGATTTTTTAAAGTTTGAAATTAAAGACACAAATTCGCGTAATTACCGAAAATCAATTAACGGAACTGAAAACGATGGTGGATTTAGGCACGAATTTTTATGTGCAAGCTAAAGTGTAGGTTCCCATCACTTCAATTAATTTAATCATAATTCTTTTCATATTTATTTGTGTACGATGACGGTCTATTAAAAGCCCAGATACCATGTATATATTCGTGAATGTCGGATTCGGATTTCACGTACAATTAACATTGGTGGAAGCCATCGAATTTATTGATCGAAAAGAAAAGGTTTTACAACGGTAATTCATATTTTTTTAATGATATATATATATATCTTGTGGTTCAATCTTTTTTCCCGTTGTTGTTCTCATTTGCATTTTTGATTTATTTTCTAAAAGAAAAGCAGAACAATACACTAAAAAAGCATCAAATATCAAAGCGAATATTAAGTTGGTGTTAGAGGCGTTGACTGAAATTATGAAACTTGAGAAAGACCCACAATTGGAGTTACGTGATGATTTGTTTCTGTAAAATTTACAACTTGTTCTATTTATTGAAAACAACATCTTTCAAATTTGGTGATATAAATAAAATTACGTTCTATAAATCGAAATTCCAAAAATATATATTTCTATCACTAATATTATAATTGATTTATTGTACAAAGTATTTTAGAGGTAGTAGCGTGTATACCATATCACTATTTTTTATGCTTCTATTATTAGTTTTAGCATAGACAAACGAGATTGTAAATATAAGATCCAACATATATTCAAAGTTAAAACATGATCAAAAGAACCGCATTGCCGCATTCGCATGAACTTCAAAATACAATCGCATCGCTTCACGCATCTCCATGAAAAGTTGCGTGGATAGCATGTCCTCGCTCATTTTCAATGGCGGGTCGTTAAATATCGCTCGTGCTTGTCTAATTTTTAGCTGAAATTCGGGAATGTCGGAAGTATCCTATTTTTGTATAATTCAATAAAAGTTAGTTATTTTCACAGTGACAAAAAAAAATACACTAAAAATTATTTACTCGAGTAACAAGACTGTCCAATAATGTACACCATTCTTGCGAGTGTAACATTACAATATCCGAGCCGCAAAGATGTAGAAACGTGATCAAGTCCATAAACATTTCCCAGTATGGAACGATATTGGACTTTTTTATAAAGGAAAAAGTTGAATATCGAATCAATCTCTATGCCAAAAATCAATATATGTGAATTTTTTTAAAAATATATACCTGAACATCCTTATCAATTATACTAGAAACTAACTGCTGTCTCATAGAAGGCCAGATCGAATTCCAAAACCTTCGTTCAGCCATTGCTAAAGAAACAGCCAGGCGTCGATAGGCACGAGGACCACCATTATTATTCGAAGAACCATTTCTACCATCGTCGGCGGATGATAGTTTTGTTGCGTGACCACATAAAACAGTCCAGATTTTTATCAAGAGAAATGCTTGATAGGCTAATTCACCGGATGGAGTATACAGATAATTGAGTTCCGCACCAAGTATTTCATTGAATGGCTGGCGAAGCGCGTGAATTAGTAAGTCGGCAATGTTGTCTTGAAAATCGAAGATTGTTGTAATTAGGCCGGAAGAAGTCGCTTCTGATTTTGACATGCATAGTAGAACCCAATCCAGTAGACGAATAGTACGTTTTGGTTCCGTTGGCTTAGCACGAAGAGAATATTACGTTTAACATTAATCGAATTTTATTTGACTCTCTTTTAGGATTAATAAATATTTACTCATTACCTTTTGCCACAAGAAAATTTTTGTTAATAAATCATACTTCTGATTACACATGGCAACCACCAACTGTCCGATACACACGCCAACTTTGAACTCTTTTTTCGAATACTGTTTTGTGGAGGTTGGATTTTCCAATAAACTCACACACTCATCAAATAAATTTTCCGCAACATTTACAAAGTAAGGATGTCGATTCTGGTTTCGATTCTCATTGGTGGACAAAGTTGTTGATTTGTCACTATTATTATTATTATTATTATTATTACCTAATTGTAATTTATGCTCAAGATTTTGTAGCCATGGTCGAGACGCCGGTTCCATATCAGCCAGAATTAACTAATTCAGCAGTGTTGTTATTAATTCCGTATATATAATATAATGCTCTCAATGTAAGAAGTATCAGATAAGATGTAACTAGCAAACAAACCTGAAGTAAAAGAATCATAGTATCACGATTCAACCGCGACTTACTCCCCCGAAAACTATATCTCAATTCTTCAATAACAATTTCACCAAAAAGATTGCCATGATTACTATTGATACTACTACTACTATTAATATTAATATTATTAATATTATTAATATTATTATTATTGATGATGGATTGAACTGCCGACGTGTATGAAGCTAACAATTTGAGACAAGATTCTACGGAAATTGTGCATTTTTGAATGGCATGTCTGAGTAGACTTTTTATACTTGGAATTAATAACTACAATTGATCCAATAAAATATTCTTAAATATTAGCCAGAAAATATCAAATTCTAGTTTATAATTCATTTACCTTAGCGTATGTTGAATTCGCCTTGAAAATCGTTGCAGCCATCTGCAAAATCGGGTTAATATCCCAGTCACCGCGTTTCCATTCACTTGTATGTTTAGCCAATTTATTAAAGAAAACTCCTACATCTAAAGATTTGAAAATATATTACAAATTTCATATCAAGATATTTGTAACAATGCTAATCGAGTAAAAGAAATATAACATCGCATTACCAACTATCAGCTGTTCGTCGTACGGTTCCGAATAAACCAACTGAACATATTTATTCAAATTACAAAGAATCGTCGAGACAATTTTCCGTACATTGAATTTGAACACTTGGTTCATGACATCACGTATTGGTTGTTCACGAAGAAAAGTGGGGCTTTGGTTTTCATCTTCGGCTGGGATTATTTCATTACCGATTACTTTTCTTAGGACACGAAACATATCAAGTTCAGTGTGATTGTCATTTGCCACCTCTTGATTCTGATAATAACATATTTTGGGAAAAAAATATTATTACTTACCAAAGAATAAGAAAACATTAATAACAACATTGTAATATTTATAATTGAAACCTTGAATATTAACACAAATAAACCATTCAGTGCGAATTTCAAGAATGCCGTACGCAAAAAGTCACAAGCATTATTCACCAATTGAATTGACGTGTCGCATTTCAAATTTGTCATCAATTTCCCGATAATAATAATCTGTTTGCCAAGGATGTTTACCGTCAACGTAGGCGACCTCTTCAAGAGGCATGCTGAAAGTTGTATGATGAGTAGTTTATTCTCGTCGCTGACGTCTTTAATTAATAGTTCGGATATTCGTCGCATGGCGTTCACAATTTTTTCTTCTAATTCTTTATTTCGTCTATCTTCAATTTTATGCTATTAGAGGGAATAAAATACCATGAGTTCTTTTGGAATTTTTTCAAATTGGAAAAAAAAGATGAATAACTTTAATCACCTTATAAACAATAATCAGCATTAATTCAATCCAATTTTTGAGCATTAAATGACTCAATGTCGAGATATCAATTGAAGAATTAAACATTTTCAGCACCACGTCAACAAAAAACGCACCCACAAGATCTTCACTTTGTTCATCAAATGACGACGAAGATATCGACCGCGATGTTTCCTCAGCGACATCAGGTTCAGGTTTAAAATTTATCGGAGTATCAAGAATTTTTTTCAGATTACTGAGACACGCAATCATCATCATATTTTGGGAAAAGTCATCGGCTGTGTATTGTAATTCACCGTGATTGATTTCCAGGTGTCCGTTGTTGGTTTCCACTCGACAATTGGTGAAGCCGAGACACGACATCGTTATACGTTTCAGTTCTATGGCTGTTGACTTTGTAATTTCTGTTCCATTTCCGACCATTTGTAGAGCGAGTGTTATTAAAAGAACCTGCGTGATCAAGATTAGTTGAGTAATTAGTAGAAAACAATTCGAAAATCAACGGGAAAAGATCGTTATCGCCATTACCTTTAGATTTTCTTCTTCAGCTACTTTTTGTCCTGGATTTGTAGTTTCATCATGAAGTTGTTTTAAGCCAATCACTAAAATGCTGTCTGGTCGCATATAACTTTCCTAAAATATATTAAACCAATATCAATTCAAATTAATAAGCATAAGGAATTTTAGGATTGAGTTGAATCTATCAAACCAATAATGACTAGAATTATAATTGTAAATAAAAATATGTGAATCAATGTACCAAAATATCCGCAGCAGAAACAGATTCTTCAATCTCTTGAGACAACGCTTTGAAAAGTAAGTTCCAATTAATCACTGTAATATAAACAAAATTAAAAATTAAAATATATACAATCTTGTTGTTTTTCCCAACAATTAATGGTTAATAATATTACCTTGCAAATCAGGAAACTGAGCATTAAACCGAATCATCAATTTAACAAGCAACGTCTGCTCGCGAGTATTCGCTGTCTCGAAATACTCTTCCCAGCATTTAATCGCCAACCGAACATTAAATTGTTGCATGGAACGAATATAAGAAATTGCTTTTGTTCGAACATATTCCTGTTTTTTTTTTTTAAAAAAATTAACAATTGATAGAGATTACAAACAATGACGCGATCAAATTTTGAATTTAATAATTAATCTTATTGTTGCTGTTGTACCTCTTTATCCCATAGACTAGCAACAAAATAACTGAAAATCGGTCCCAAGTGAGCAAATATTCCAGCCCATTGCACTTGGTATTTTTCATCGAGTTTTGAGAAAATGCCATACAAGTGATCCAATCCTTTAAACCTTTATCGATTTGATTATATATAAAATAAATTTGAAGATATATAATAACGTTCGATCTCATAAAATTTAATAAAGATTACTTACCTAATTTCCCAATCTTCATGTTCAAATGTTTTACTAACAAATGCACGAAAAGAATGCGTATCTGCCCATATTAATCTCATTAAGAGACGCATCGTGGTGTCAGAATCGGCATCATGAATGGGTGATACTGTTTCCCAAACACTTTTCATCAAATGCGTTATAAATAATATAAGAAATAAATTAAATATACGTTTCGAGAATTATCTAAGACCATTGATAATGCAATAGAAAAACAAACCTAGGCAACAACTCCGAAATACAACTAATTAAAAACTCATTTTTATTATAAATAAGACTGCTCTTATCACATAGACCCCAGAAAGTCTTCGTTAAATCTCCTTCGATTCCCAATCTTTCGAATTTCGCATAATTAAACAAACATTTGATTATTGGAGAGTCTGCGGTTAAATGTGATCCGGGAGTCGGATCGGGTAATATTGAACTGCGTTTTGTTGATTTACTTGAAGATGGACTTTTATAATATGGGAATCGAAAGAAAATAAATAGTTAGAATCATCAATCTTTCCAATTATAAATTATTAATAATTAAAAAGTGAGAAAGAGTTTCTTACTTTAAGCTCGTTGTTCTTGAAGGAACACCATTCACAATCCCAAGGGAAGAAATAAAGTCAAGTGGACACGCAAAAGAATGCAGTGTCAATGCCATACTTATTTTCACAAAAAAACGAGCACTCCAATGAAAAATATAAAATTTTATTTAGACAATAATTCACCGATAATTATAATGTCAAAAAAAATTATTATACTTTGCAATATCGAAATCCGATCCAATCGAGTCAAAATCATGTATCATATCCATAGCGGCCAAATTAATATTGGTAATCAGCTCCAAGATATCCTGACGTTTTAATAAATGTCCAAACACGCCAATCACTTGATACCATACAATCTGCATGAATGCTGAATATTGTTCGAGTTTTGGTGAGACATTTGCCAGTAATGGGAGAAATTCAGAATACACCGATCCTGGAATTCCAACACTTTCATATTTCAAAAAAAATTATATTTGTTCTTTAATCCATTTCTCGTTTGATCTTTTAATATTAGATATTTTGCGATACGAATCATGCATTGTAACATTATAAGTTATTACTCACCCTCCACGTACCAATAATTCCATCCACTGCAACCCACGAGACACCGATGTTGTATCCCCTTTTTGCAACAGTTCTATAAGAGCTTTCATCGGATCATCAATATCGATTATCGAATTATCGAAATTCAGTGCGAAAAAGTTGTCATTCATGCTTAACCGCGATCCGGAATTTTTCGACATGAAAACACGTTGTAAAGATTTGAGTTCGATGAAAATCTAGTGAGAAAAAATAAATACAAGACTATATTAATAATTAAAAAAAAAAAAAAAGGTAAAACACGAGAGATTGTGAAAACGAGAATAAAAATCACCTCGCCTGCAGGTAAATTTGCTACTAAATGATACATATTATCTAACCACCGCGCCATAATTTTATTAAATGGTGAAAAGAGTATATCAGCACTCCAAAGTTTAATAAAATAACGTAGAATACGTTCTTGCTTTTCAAACGCGCACTCCTATCCAATCATATTAAATTATTAGCTGATAAATCAACAATTAAGTCTATACAACCAATCAGTCAACTGGAATTTACTAACCTGCGTCTTATCATCCGAAACTTCTTCGTACATTCTAAAATAATGAAGTTCTTCCAAAGCAACCACCTGACAATAAATCATGTCACAATATAATTCCGGATCCATTTGATGTATAGAAAACAGCCAACCCAAAATATATTTCTCTTTTAGCATTTTTCGACTAATCACATAAGCACCACCTCCAGAACTATTATAAGTAGAATTTCGTTTATTATGACCTCCATTATTATTTGCAGAGGTTGCACAACCAGAACCACTTGCACTCGGAATAGTACGATCATCCATGTCATCCCGGACGCCTGGCAATTTCATGCCGGACGGGGTATATTCTCGGGCAATCACTAATAATCGATCATCCTCACAACAGATCCATTCAATAATCGCATTTAGAAGTCTTTCTAGTGTGTATCGTGACAAAAATGGATCGGGCCAACATCTTCGTGTCAATAATAAGAGTCCGCATTCGTTTATTGCGATACTTATGTCTTTTAAACAGGAGACAATCGCGGAGATTAATGTTTCTACATTTGGGGAATATTCAATGCCGAAAGGAAACGGAAAAGTGCAATCTGTTTTGCTTCTAGAATTGATGATGTTGTTATTCGATATAAATTCTGCAATTTTTGAATTAGAGAAAATAATTGGATGTCCATCAATTCTTTCAACGAATCCCAGATTGGCCATTTGTTGTATTAATATTTTACTAGCGAATTCACTCTGAAACCCTAAATTATTTTTCACCCATCGAATTATTTCATTGGTGGAAATACTTTCCACCGAGATCACTTCATCAATCGAGTCAGCAGCTGTACTGATAGATGTCGGAGTAGTAGCAAGACTATTTGAGTTTACACCCAGATAATCATTATGATTACTAATTTCTCTATCAAATCCAGCGCCTGATTTGATAAATGCCGCGAAATGACCAAGATATTCATCTTCACACAAAATCCAAGGATGATGATGTTTTTGTTGTTGTTCTTTACTGTCATAATTCGAAAGATTTTGTCCAAGTGCACCTTCCCAATACTCCTGCGATATCGTTGACTCGCTAATACCTACTCCAATACCAATAGTCGTCGTCGAATCTACATGTTCGCTGCCAGTGAAATAGTATTCTTCGTATAGGGTTAATAATTCTTGCAACTCGAATTTTTCGAGTTTCTCTTCTTGTTGCGAAAGTGGATGATTCGAAGATTGTTGACGGACTAGTAAGCATCCGGCTAATATCCCATTGTTCACTATACTATCTTGAATTTCTAAAATACTTATCATCACAGATAATTCTTCAACCGAGTAAGATGGCAATGTTTCGTGTGATACTACTATTGGTTTATAATATTGCAGAAAAGTTTTACGGAGTAAATCATGATCAATCAAAGCGTCTGCTTCACTCATTTTTCCGTTAAGTGGACAGGATTGAAGATGATGTTTTTGTGAATCAAGACAATGAATATGTAGAAATCGATTACAATATTCGCACCGGTATCCTTGATGCATAATTCCCCAAAGTGGTTCGTGACAACTCATACATAAAACCAGAGTGAATAAATTAATTAAGTGAAATTTGTGTCCATTTTGATTTTCTATCGTTATTAAGACATCATCACTATTATTGTTATTACTATTGTCATCATCGCAAATAACTCTTCTAGGATTTGGCAATATGTCACAAAATCGAGGTGTCGACAATTTATGGACACCTGAATCCAACGAATAATTAGCCAAAAACACGCCATCGGCCAAATTATAGCATCCAAAATGTAAATTAATCTTGCATCCATTACATCTCAGTCCAAATCCAATCACCGGCTCAAAACATTGCATGCATCCGTTCGGATTTTCAGTTGGCATCAATTGACCATGCATCTCAATCAAAGAAGAGCGTTTGCTCATCATGAGCGTAGCGTGTTTATCTTTTGTAGAAGCGGATGTGAATTTATTAGCACGTTCGGTAAAAATATGCGGTGAGAATTGATGAGAGTGTTCGTTCTTTGTTGAATGTGAGGGAATACGAAAATCCAGGTGTCTTGGGGGTTGCAGTTTTTGACGTGAATTGGGTGAGTAAGCTTGTTGTTGCTGATGTAGTTGTTGTTGTTGCTCTTGCTCATATTTTTTTTTGAGTGCCAAATCATCCTTATAACTAACATTCTGGAGCGGATGCCCGATAACAGGATGTCCAGTACAATTACCCCAAAAAAAGAAAAGTATATTAACAGCTTGAGCACGACTCGATTCACCTCCAAAAGCAATAACTTCGATAATATCATGATAAAGCTGTGGTTTGCTTTCAATCATTATTGCTAATGTATGATGCATATGAAATATTGTTTCCAGTGAAGATTTATTCACATTAATATACTGAACGATAGAATATAAAAGTGGGGTGAACATTGAATCGGCGTAATATTCTTCCATTTCCATATCTCCTTTATATTTTATTGACATATAGCGCGTCGTTTGTTGTTGTGACTGTGAGTGTTGTTGAAATCGATTGCTTTGATTTTGTGGGTCTGCGTCTATTGGTGAATGAATCTCTATTGAGACGGGAGGCGGATTGTAGCCGTCTTCACTAGAATTCTGAATCATGATATTTATATGCCCTGAATTTTCGTGTTCTATAACAAAATCATAAGCCTTATTAAAAGATAATTACTATACACAACATACAAATGAATTCGGTATTTATAAAATTTATTGCATACCACTTATCAAATTCTTTCCCTTATGTTCAGCAGTTCGTCCACGATTTTCTCGATTCACTCCAAGATTACCATTGATAGCATTATTTAACTCCATTCCATTGCAAGCCATCAACCGCGGCAACAACGACTTTCCATAAAAAACCAGTAACTTCCCTTTTAATATATCCTCGAAACAAACAAATGCCGATAACATTGTCATACCCAACTCGTAAAGCCAACGAGGAGAATACGGATTCTGATCAATTAATAGAAATGCCACATCCAAAACTATCATCTGTAGTGCATTTGGAGGTCGAAGCGGTCTGGGCATCAAGATTTTGTATCGACAGTCGTTTTGAATTATGTCGTCTAGTATTTGAATTATTCGATCGAGGATTGCAACATCAGAAGATGGAGTGGACCTTGACGGTGAGGGTGAACGAGAACGTGTTGGTGATGGTTCTCGAGAAGAATATGGTGAATCTGGCGGAGATGGAATTGCAGTAACTCTAGGAAAAAATTACTTTCCGCTTAATTATTATAATAAAAAATCCATAATCATTTTTTGTATTTTCTTAGAACTCACCTGTCTCCGAAAGTGATACCGCTAAATTTGCAAACGGTCAACACATCACGTAATTGAATCAACAAATCACAAGTTTCATCAGTAGAATACACACCATGTTCGTCCATAGCTATTCCTCCTCCATCTCCTACCATACCACCACTTCCTACACTCGAACCCAACAACGACACCAAATTACCATTAACGTTCTTGCTTCTTTCCGCATTCTTATAATATTCGGGCAGAATTGTGAATACACTTGGTGGTTTTTTGCGTTTCTTTAATTTACTCAAAATTTGCGTGACAAGTCTTCTAGTTTGGTCTACTTTGGGTAAGAGCGCTCCTCCTCCTCCGCCGCTACGTCGTTGGGACTTTGACGAAGGGGTGACAGTAGTGGTTGTGGTAGTGACGTTGACAACGGTTTGGTGTTTCGAATAGTTTGTTGAGGTTGAAGTCGAGCTATTACGGTTTGCGTCCATTAAAAATTAATTTCAAGACGTGAATTTCTTAAAAAGCATTACTAGCATTCACACACTCCTTTTATTAGTTAGGCCAATCATAATAAAGCCTTTAGGCATAAAAAGTGCTCTACAAAGCTTGTTATATCTATTTTGTATAACACATTGATATTTATTGCACACAAGTTTCTCTAGTTTCTTTTTGTGTCCTCTTTTATTATTATTGTTTGTTATTACTTGATGAAGACAATCCTTTACTACTTTCATCATCTACAGTTTGAATTTCTGTATCTTCCTCAACTTCTCCGGCCGCCTCTTTCTCAATCCTTGCTTTCTGCTCTTTAGCAAACTGCAATTGTTCTTGCATCATTTGATAGACGTATCGTCCGATATGGGTTACATCTGCAATCTCATATGGTTCGCTGTAATCTCCCACCTAACAACAAACAATATATAAAAATGTATATCGGAAAATCAAAGCAACAAGAATAAATAATGGAAAACAAAAACAGCATAACGACGAAATAATATATAATCATACATCTCTATCAGTAGGCAACATTTCATTTATTCGTAATTTCAACTTATCAGGCCGTTCCAGTAACTTATTAAACGTCGGTGTTAACTCGTAACAATTCTCAAATAATGCGCGTCGACAAAACACGTATAAGCCGAGGCGTGCTCGAGACATTGCCACTATAAGACGTCGCACATCCCGAATGTGACCAACTGATCTGGTACGAACTAAAGATAAAAGTATATCTAATTTTTTTTATAATTAACATCAACGATTTAAATTTAGTGTTGATAATATCTCTGCGGTAATTAAGAAAATTTACATACAATCATTTTGCTGTCCTTGGAATTTATCCACGGTCGTTACTTTTGCTGGTCTCCCGAATAACGGATTCCACGAACATCGTTTTTTTAACACATCCCGTATTAACGCTTTTTGTCCGTTATATGTTGTTAGGATAGTGATCTGATCAGCTGGATAACCCAGCAATCGCATGTATTGGTAAACAGCGACTACATATTCAGCCTCACCGAGATTCTTTTAATATTTAAAATATATGATTAGAATTTAGAAGAGAGTAAATGTGGCTTATTTAACTTAATTAAAACTTTTATATACTTGATAAAAATATGGCACTGGTTCTGTTTCTCCTTTACTCAAATAATCATCCACATTTATCAATTGATAATCATATGTAAATCTATATAGAAAAAGATTAATTAAAAAAGGTCATGATTGCATTAATAGTCTTGTTGAGCATTCTTACCCTGCATTCGCTTTTTGATATTCAGGTTGCTGGTGTATAACAGGTAAATTTCCTAGGTTTTTATATCTCCAATTATACAATTCAGCAATAGAAGATCTAGCACGACCCTACACATAATAACAATAAATTGTTGTGTCAATTCAAGTTTCTCCTGAGAATGCAAAAGTATAAACTAATTTACCTGAGAGTCCAAATCAATCGTAGGAACATTAAGCCTCACAAATCTTGTGAACAAACTCTGTTCCATATTCCCGTATTGTTGAAAAGCCATATTTTTCACAACAGGGGGTAATTGATTATGATCGCCAATCATAATAACTCTCTTTAGGCGACTTCGGCCATCCTCGGTCTCTTGAAGAAGCAATGGAATGAATGTTTCTACTTCAAGTATTTGTGCCGCCTCTTCCATTACCACATTGTCATACTTGAAGCCTAAAGTAGCAAGCTCACGTCGCTAAATTATGACACATAATTGTACATAAGTATCGAGATCTCAATAATGCTACCAACAAAAGAAATTAAACTTGTCAAACCTTCAAAGCAGCATGCGTACATGTCATCGCAATGATTTTCGCTTCTTTAGTTAATAGATAATTCGCCCGATCATAACTTGTTCGCAACAGTTCAAAACCACGGATCTCTTCCAATTCGGTAAATATTTTTTCAATATGTCTGAAACAACCTTCTACTATTTCTAGTGTCTCGGTGTAATTGACTTCAGGTGGGAAAAGTGGCTGTGGTGCATTGTCGAAATAAGCAGTGAAAGGAAAATTATTTCTAATAAAGTCTACATTTTCACCCCCAGTATTCATTCGTTGACGACATTTGTCTATATATGGCTCCCATCTTGATAATATATGATATAGATAAAAGTATCCTGCAGTCTCGCAGGTATAACCATATTCGCCACCAATTTGTAAGGAATTGGCAAGACGGTCGACTTCTGCCAGTAACGCAAGCCGTTTTTCCTAAAACAATAATTGCTTTGGTTTAGAAATTGGTCACATTCATACTTGATAAAAGAGGATAGAGTGAAAAATTATCCACCAAAAAAGAATTAACGCGCCCATATTTACTGAAGCTCAACTCGGTGTTAAGCTCTTCCTCCCCATGACCCAAGCGCAACAAATGACGTTCATCGACGTCTATAATATAGAAATATATAATGTAATTATTTATTTCAAATAATAATGAAAATGAAGTAAAAGTGTTTGTGAATAATTACCAAGAGCCATTATTTTCTCAAATAATTGATTTAGAGCTTGATTACTATGAGTAACCAACAATGTGTGTTGATCTAGAAAATTATGATACAAGTTGGCAATTATTTGTACCGCGACGTCGGTCTTACCCGTACCTGGGGGACCAACTACCATCGTTAGCCCAGGATTAGTTCCTGCGCGAATAGCCTCCACTGAATTTCCAAAATAAAAAATAAGAGGCGTTAATCTCATTATTTAACATTTTCCAGTCAACAAGGAAGAATATTATAAAAACTAAATACCTTGTATCGGAGTAAACCTAATTGTATTCTTTCGAGGCTGATTAAAAGGATAAGGACCCATATTAGGCATAGTATAAGTTCTCACAATAATCTGATTCTCTTTCGTTTTAGATTTTTTCAGCGTCTCGTTTTCCTTTCCTGCTTTACGTTTTTTTGTCGGATGGGAATCTGAAGGCTCAGGAAACTGAAGAATATATGGTGGCGAAATCGACTTTTTGTGACCTGCTGGTACGATTTTCTAAATATGTATTTTTTAGACATGTTATATATTTTAATATAAGGGATCTGTATTTATTATATAATTTAATGAACATTCTGTGATCTCACCATATTTGGAAAACTTTCTTTCAGATGATCGAAATCGAGAAAAGTATCGCGAAAATCAATTTCTTTTGGTCGGTTAGGCATCCTACTATAATGAGCACTTCCTGGCTCGCCATATCCCAAGAATACATTATGAAGCCAATCGGGTACCACTAGTTCACTTTGCATTAAGTCTCGAATAGTCTCAAGTACAGCTTTGAAATTGTTTTCCTGCAGAAACAATATATCAAGTTAAAAAATATATTGAGAGAAAAGTTTTCTAATCAATTAATTACCTTTGGTTTTCGTCTCATCACCACATTGAAAGTCTCATAAACATCATCGGTTTTTTCTCGAGTATATCGGTCCATATCGACCTAATATTCTTGTATCATGAATACCGACCGATGTATTTGTACTTTGAAAATTTTCGTCATCATTACAAAGCCTCACCTTATATTGATTAGTATCTAAAAGTACACGCAATGTTCTCATGTTACCAGAAATTTTCGGTCTTCGATCGTCAATGCGAGGCTTGCCAACTTCATCGATTGGCTTGCCTATATATCGCAATATAGATATATATATTCGTTATGGTGTATTTGAATAAACGGAATTCGAATTGATAATGCATAGAATAACATTAAGATTAATTTACCGTCATCGCCAATGATTTCGCTCAATTCACACCCTCTCACATATTTCAAACCAAAATGCTGCCTATAATTCGCGACGAATATGTTAACATAAATTCTGAATATTTAAATCGGATAAGTGATAATTTAATCCTTGACACACACACCTGAACGGCATGTCATCCTGGTATTTTTCGTCAGTTTCGTCATGTGCTTGAATGGTTAAAAGAAACAAAACATCGTGTTGCTTCAAAGAATCCCATTCATTACGAATTGATTCCGTGTATCGACCAATATTAAATGTGATCTAGTAATATCATAATGTGATATTAATAAGTTTTAAATTTAATCATATATAGTGAATTTGTCCAAAGGAAAAATAATTACATCAGCCTTGACAAGAGACGGATGTTCCTCTCCGAGATTAGGCTTAGCAACATCTACAATACTATTATAAGCAACAATTAACGTATAAGTTTTCCCATTATCAGCCCGCGTAAATGAAAAACTCCTCCACTCTAAATACCTGAAACGATCGATCTCTACAGCCATACGAGCCCATCCTGTAAATTCTGTCTTACCGAGAGGGTACGTTATGCGTGGCGCCAAACGTTTAACAACATCCTCAATATCTTGACGGATTTCATATGTACTCTCAAGCCGAAATAAATTGAAATTACGTAACAAGTAATCATGTATAGTGAGAAATTGTAGGTTTAGTTTTGGTAGGGCCAACGGAGTTTCGCCCGAGTAAAATTGTGTCTTGACAACCGCGTCGTCGAAAAGTGCATTCTTAATAAATAAATCAATAAATTATAGAATTTTAAAAAATACGATTATCAACATGATATATTTTTATTTACTTCATCAGGATACAAAGGCGTCGAATTGATCATATCAATCTGACTCTTTCTCCTCTCGTATTTAGTTATCAAAACTTCCACAAGAAAATCTTTATCGTAAGATCCTTCGCCTGCCAGTTTTTGTGTTCGAACATCGAGATGCTCGCATAATCGAATTAGTTCCTCGTATGATAAAGAATCGAAATGCCGATGTAAGTCGGATCGACGTTCTATCGATGCTAAGTTAGATAAAGCTAACGAGTTTAGTGAGTCTTTGAAGTACATGTATGCTATATGCTATAAAATTTGATTTGAAAATAAAAAACTATTATTAGCGGCAGCTGAAGATTGAAAATATAGAAAGTTAAAATGAATATTTACTTGTAATTTAGTCAATCTTTTACAATGGATTGCTGTCATCTCGTCGTCTGTCAAGGCTGATCCATCGAAATCGCTGATTTCGAAACCAGCATAGAATTTTAACATTTCCAAAAGTTGCAAAAAAAGTTCACTATGCATGAAAAGACAACGTAAACAAAAAAATCTCATGATAAATATAAGCTTTGTAAAAAAAAAATGGCAAACACGAGAAACGATTATAAAATCGATAGATTGCTCCAACCTGCCTTCCTTGCGTCTAACTATTGGAGCCAATCTACACAGAACAACAATCTGATGATCATCAAGCAAGGTATTGAAGAATCGTCTGGTAGGAAGCTGAGCTTCCAGATCAATAAGAAATTCTAGAAAGCGTTCACAGTAAGCCACGGCGTCACCATTTGCTTTAAATATAACAATATTAATTAACCATCGAATAAAAAAATAATTTAATTGCATATTAACATAATTCAATCAATCAATTGATCGATTAAAGAGTACTTTACTAGGTCCTGTTTCTGGTATAGAGTATAAAATTGAGATGAATCCTTTAAGCAGTTCACCTAACCAAGACCTTTCAAACTCTAGCCTCTGCTTGTGTGCTTCATCTTTTATAAAATAAATTATTAAAATTTTACATGTATTCAGCGAAAACAACCAAAAACATAAAAATACTACTTTACCAGCAGTAGCTCGATGTCTTTTAACAACACGCGTCCAAGTGTCTTTTAATTCTTTATTCATACGAAACTCAGCCTCCTTTCTCTCAGGTGTAGCAAGACAATGCCATATAGATATAGGTACTAATCTAAAAAAATAATAATAATGATAATAATACAATACTTAATTCTATTCCAGAGATCCTTCATATCTTTGAAATATTTACCGCAAGCATTCTTTTCTCACAAGATTATTCTCTAAACTCTGAAACGCGTGTATCAAAAAAATTAAGATAAATCGACGAACTTGTAGCGTCAAATTATTTACTAAAGGGGGAACCGAGAGGTGCAGAACACGACTAAAGAATTCCGGAAATTGTGCAGGCAAATTCATGAAACTATCTATTGATTTGATAGCATATTTAAAGTATGGTTATACTTATAAAATTCAAATTAAAAATTGAAGATTAAATGCGATCGCCTACCCCAAGCTGATACACGCTCCCTGAATTTTTCATTGACCATTAAGACTATTGACAACACATGAGCTAGTGAAGCTTTGGACGCGCCAAAATTCGGCCATAGATACTAAAATAGCAAGTCAGTCAGCATAATTGGTTCTTTCCTCACAAAATAGATATAAGGAATCTTTAATCAGTTAAATATTAAATCGACAATAAATTAACACCTTATAAAATAGCATACTACTAAGGCTCTTATACACCACCAAATTTTCATATAGTAATAAAAAAATTCACCTTTTCAAGATACTGGCTAAACTCTAACAACATCAATTTCTTTGTTGTAAACTCAGTCTCTTGCAACTCTTTATAGTAAATTTTCTCAACCACCGAGGCATCCCACTTTCTTGACTCGGGATCTTTGTGAGCCCAATGTTCTTCGGCAAGTTTAGATATGGAGTCTTGTTGAATTTCTGTAAGGGTAGGGTGGTATAAGCCAGTCCGTGTGCTTTCTGTTGGAGGTGCATGTGGTGGTAAGGTTGTTTGACGCGAATCGGACATTTTTGTGGGTTGGTCTGGTACCACCACGAAATTAGAGATAAATTTTTGTTGTGATCCGTGTTTTTTTTTTAATCTTATTCACCAAATTATTTTATTTTATTTTATTTGAATTATAATGCAATTACAAAGAGATACATGAATTCACGTCTTTAACTTTATAATTTTACAAAGTAATCTCTAATTGTGAAATTCTAATCAAAAATTAGACTTCCACTATAGTCTTCCACAAAGGATCGTTGAGATAATGAATATTATCGACTCCGATCCCCTTATTGACTTTTTTACTGTTGAGAAAAAATCGGCAGAAAAAATTAGGACTCAGCAATATCTTGATCCAGTATATTATTCAAATAAAATAAATTATTGTATTTCCCTCATCTATCTTAATAAAAAGGAAAGGCTTACATCTGTTCCGTAGACAGTTTCATTAACCCAATTGCGATCGCATGTTCTTTCCCCTCAGCAAATACTCCAACAATAGTATCAACCGGAAGTTCTTGTTCCATTCTTGCACCTTTTGATGTTAGACCCGGACACATGATATTTGCACCAGACAGAATGAATTTTATCGCACCACGGTCCACTTGAACACGTGGAAATGCATCTGGATCTAATTATAGAGTAAAAAAATAAACAACAGGGTAAATAACAACAAGATCAATCAATAAGTTAGAATGGTATGATTTTGCGAAATTAAGATTCGGGCACCAAGTAAAGAAAGTAAGAAAGTACATTTATGAAGAAGACGCAGAGTCGGGTAATATGGTCCATCGAAATGCTGAAAGAACAGTATCTCGTTGTTCATTGTTAACAAGTTGATATGTTCATGGCTTTTTAGTTAAAAACATAATTGAATTGAAATTTAGAATAAGATCAAAGATTATATTAAATACTTTGAAACGTAAAGGTCCCTAAGGTACATACAATGCTGTCTTCCACCGGTACTAATAGACTTTTATTTCTAAACTTTTCGGAAGTAAATAATACTTTACCATTTTATCAAGACTAATGGCGTCTTTTTCGGGAGCACCTCATCCACTACTGATTCTAATTGCTTGTACTGTTCCAGAATTTTGGTGCGAATGTTGCGTTGTACTGATGACTTTACCTGTGATTGTGTCGAAACATCTTCTTTGAAGTTGAATCTATGTATTAGGTAAAATTTAAGCGGAGTTCCAAGTTAAAGTTATCACTGAATAATGTTGGTTTCTAAATCTAAATTGACATAAAAACACATGAGCCCGTATTCATACCTACTTTTTGAACATTATGTTTGTGTTAAAAGAAATCGAAATCAAAAATTGAGATCTGCCCGTATTTTATTTGACAGATGTATGACTAAAATCTATGTTGCTAATGAGAGAAGTAGAAAATGAATATCATAAAGTCATGTAGGTTTCGCTCAAAAGACCCATTGGTTGGTTGGCTTTGAAAAAGGGCATGCCAAGACCTAAACTCCATCGCCTTTGTTAATATTATACAAGTCAGTCACTCTTCTATTTGATAGACGATGGGCATTCGGAAATAAGGGAGGGGGCGAAAATAGGAAAAATCAGTTAACTATCTCTTGCTCTTCTTTTATAAGCTAGATGCAGGGGACGTGTGAGTTCGATAGGATGATGGCCTGTTTTTTTGTGAATTCAGGTCTAAGGTTTTGAGGCCGTGCAAGAATGGATCAAACTCGCTATCTTTCTTTTGTTATTTAGGTATTAAATACAGTGAAAGCTCGATACAATAACGTGATTGTGGAAAGAGATTTGGTGTTATTATATCGAGATGTTACTCTATCGAAAAAATAAATACAATGAAAGCTTATTACAGTAATGAAATCGGGGGGAAGCGATTTTGCGTTATTATAACGAGAAGTTATCTTAAAGAGTTTTACGCAATAAAGTTTTAGTAGAAAATCGGGCTAAACTTGGAACTTTGCAAAGTCGACTCACAAAAGTCAAAGTCAAGTCTCGATAATATTATCACGACATAATACAATTACATCGCCTCTTCGTCGCCAATCATCATGAAAGTGAGAATTAAAGAATTTTGCACACTGTTGGAAACAAGGAAAATCACTAAGAGATCGAAAAGGTGTTGAATAATCATGCTAATTTTTACCTGGCGGTACTGTGCTTTATCAATAAACGGCTCAAGGTCCTTTAACAAAGCTTGAAAAATAACAAGATGACTTGGCCATTTTTCACGCGATGGATTTGTGTTAATACTCTCTGATATATCGTTATTCGACTTTTGTTTGATTGTTAAAGGCTCAAATCGACCAGTTAAATATTGCTGAGGGTCAGTGTAAAATATATCTGCTTCATCCAATAACAGTTCATTGGTATCAGTCGTAGCACTAATGATTTACAAGTTTGATGTTACAAAGTTTCATAATTTTTTCGAGATAAAAAGTCTCAAAAAACACTTTACCTCATTGGAGGCTCACACGTGAGGAACCACATTGTAACATTCTGATGCATATTACTATAAAACGGTGTTGAATGACATGGCATCAAAAATCCAATATCTTTCACTTTTCCTTGTTTTACTTCTATCCTCAAGTAATCAATCACATCGACAACTCCACGTTGATGAATAAAGCTTGTATAATAAGCCAATGGTATCTGAGTTATTATCAAAATTACTATGGATGCTTTAAAATAATGACGATGTATGGAATTCTGCGACTGCTCTGTTGTTCGCGCGATTTCTGCTAAACCAAATCCGGAGAATATAATAGCAATTGGCAAAATGGGATAAATAAAACGGAACTCTTTATGACCGAGAAAGCTGTATCCAATGATCACCCAAAGCATCAATGACACAAAAGGTTTTGTTCTTGGCAAAAGTGGTTCTGATGAGATAATGCCTTTTATAATGAACGGAAGAAAGCTAGCGGCGACGACTGGAATTCCTTGGGTAAAATACCAATGCCAAGGGTGAGCGCCATAAAATAGCGAAATCGATTGGAACACATTGACACGGAAAAAGTTAAAAGGCACGAAAACTATCGTGCGATAAAAGGTATAATCTAGTGTAATCATTAGCGCAATTGCAAAGATCCTAAGTGATGAAAGATTGTCATAATAGAACGTAAATTACCTGCAGAATAATAATAGGCCAATGTTTAAGAACAAAATCGGAAAGAAAATAAATTTGAGATCATACTGACATGATAAAAGTTGCATTCAAGATGATTGAATTCAAATGCAGCCTAGTTTTCAGAAGTAAATTTATTCCGAGAAATCCCCATATTATTATATTTGTGGGGCGTAGAATACATGCTAATGCCGCGATTGATAGAGACACACGTAACATTCTACGAAGGAGATCAAAATGTTAAGTTGAATGAATAAACATATTGTAATAGAAGATGCTCAGACCTCGATCTTTCTTCCCAGCTCGTATTCTTGATTGCAAATGATGGCCATGGCCAGTAATACAAAGCCACGGTAGTTAAAACTGTCTCTACACTATTTGATAACATTCGTACCGAGCAATAAAAATTAAACCATGAAATTAGTGAGCAAAATAACTATGGTATATTTAGGATATACATCTTTTAGGTGGATTAGCGAATAAGTAATTAATGAAAAAAAAGATACGGCAAGATTAGCGACTCGATCTTCGCGAAAAACACGCTTTGCTAATTTGTATGTATATAAATCGCCTAAAGCAGCAATTAAAGCTTGTAGAACACGTGGACCATATATCTACAAATATAACAATCACAAAAAAGGCTCTTAAAACAGAAAATAGAACGCAGAATTTAATCATTCAATTTTAATCTTACGATGAACTCGTCGACTTGATCAAGTCCTAAAAACGCAAGAAATTTATACACCGCTACAAATAAAATTGGATGAGCAATGCTGCGCAATTTTTCATGTCGCCATTCCCAAGTTAAATATCCATAAGTGTATCAAGAATTTCTCATTAAGGATTTTATTTAATCAAAACTTATTGATGATAATGTACACTATTTATTAATGAAAAAAATAGGATATCCAAAAATTATCCTGTGTGCCACTTCTACTGATTGCCAATACTCGTCAGGTACAAAGTATGTTCTGACCAATAGTGAATTGACAACCCTAAAACCGATTAAAAGGAGCAACATCTTATCATATTATGTAGCATTGATAGAAAACCAAAAAACTCTGATATAATAATGCATGAAAATCACTGCGTGGGAAAGATACAAACCAGTTAAAAAATAGAATTCCAAAAGTTTAGGCATATGCTCGACACGATGAAATATTTTCATGTTTACTTGACGTGTCTAATAGTGTTACTTTTCGTGCACGGAACTGTATCTACCCTCCGCCATCGATATTCGTTTTTTTTCGATACAGATATTGCTAACAAGAAATCAGAAGAAAATAATAGCGGTACGGAGACTTTCTCATATTGGAAAAATGACACAGTTCGTGTTAAAGATTTCTCCGGTGTTTATGAATGGAAACTTATTGTGCCTATTAACGAATTCTTAAAGGTTTGTCTATTATTTCAGTTTGGAGAAATTCATATGTTTTAATACAAATTTGATAAATTCGATATCGTTTCTTTTGCTTAATAAAGACACTTGTAGAATCAAGAATCTTGTCATCCCAAGCTATAATTGAAGAACCTGGTTTCTGGCAAAAAGAATGGACGGCGCGTATTCAAATCGCTTCTGAGAATCTTGTTCAGGTGCCACCATATTTTATTACTCCATTGCCTGGTCTGCATGTGGGAATATCAGTCGAAAAAGAACAAATAGTATCATCATTTGACCCGGTTAGGAATTCGAAGAAAAGGTATTAAAGCATAGGCTTTAGTGAATGCGTTGCCTCATTAATTTATATATTTATATAAAAATCTAGCTGGGAATTTGTAAATCAGCAAAATATGGTCGATATTTGTAAGTTTCTGGATGCAATATTTGGAATATTTGCCTGTGATCACAACGAGCAATATAAAAAGTTAAAGGTATGTAAAATACCAAGATCTTTTTTTTTCGTATATGCTCGTACATAATTGTTTAGTCGCGTTTGTGAATCTTTAAGCAGAAAAAAGACAAAAGATAGAATTTATTAAATTCCAAAAGGACGTGTCAGTAATATATTTTAACACACATAGTACGACACAATAGATATTACGAAATCGATTCCTATAAGCAATGGTGGCGAATCTAACGCGTACTTGTACGTTCCCCGCAATTTTCATTATCAATTATCTGTTTTTTTATCGATTATCAAAAATTATATGAGACATGGTGTCGATGACGAGCATCAATCGCCTCCTTCCTTGTTTGATTTTGTAATAAAATATGACGAAAAGCTGAATGCACCAATAGTTGATTTAAGAATTGTCTGGTGGTGTCGTGATCGCGACATTGAGATATCCAAGAATCGTAATCTTCGTGATCTTAACAACGAAAGAGTAGAGATCGGTCTTTTCGAACCACCAATCGGTGAAGATACGTTTTTCGGTTTGAGAACGGTGATTGGACAAGGCCAAAATAAGATATGTGTGTATGATGTTCACTTAATTCTCCCTGTTTGATTTTGATTGGATTATCACTAACAATTTCCTTTATAACAAAAAAAACAGTACCTACAATGGTTACCATTCAATCAAAAAGTTTACATTCAGATACATTTGAGTTTTATTCTCACATAACACCACCACAAAGTTTTCATCCTAAATTTCACACTTTTACTACAACGCCCAACAAACAATCAACTAAATCATCTTCATGCCAAAATTATATAATTCACATATTACCAGAATATTTATTCGTTGATCCCTATCAAGTTCAAGAGATCTTTGAAAAGGATCAGATCGGAATTTGGGGTGAAACGGATTTAGAAAAGCCAGTTGGGACAGTTGGATTAAAGTGTGGAAGTATAATTTCAATTAAAGAAAGGGAGAAAGATGTGTTACGAGAAGATGATAATGAGGAAAAAGAGACATCATTAGGAGTAACGGTAGTTGAATCCAAGTTACCTATTCATGTGCGGTATCAACAACCGGTGGGTCCCGGGATATTTGAAAGTCGCAGTCATATACCCGCTTTCACGGCATGGCCAATGGTAGTGCAATTGTGTCACGGCAAAAACAATTCAGAAGAAAATAGCTTCAAAGGTAATAATACGTGCTTTGTTCGGTTCATTATCAAGATTGTTTATCAATTTTTTATATTTCCTAATCAGAATCACCATTCGAATCAACACCACTGCCAATATCATTAATTTTCCCAAAAAATGACACCACGAAACTAAAATATTTTCTGCCTGTCGCATTATCACAAGATTCACCAAGATATCCTTGGTCTTCATCGTCACGATGGTATTGGCCTATTGAACGACTGAATATACCGGTAGGCCAATTGCAACAGTTGAGTATTGTAAAATGGTGGTCACTGTTAGCCTCTACTTTAGGTTTTGTGTGTATTGTGTGGGTAACATTGCAGAAATTTTTTGATTGGGATTACTTTTTCGATAAGAATAAAATGGAATAATTAAATGCATTATTGTAAATATCGATATATTGAGACAAGATTAGTTAATTAGTTAGTATTAAATCCTCTAACGCTAATGTATAATCAAATAATCGAAAATGAATTATTTTTCTGCTCCTTCCTAGAACTATGTTTCAATGGTTATACTGAAATTTTCTATTATAGATCTGTAAATTGTACCCAAAAAGGGTTTAAAAATGGTAAAAGAACTTGAGGCTTCAAATAACGAAAAATCGTTTATATTAGAAGCTCTTCGTGAAGGAATTCGACTCGACTACCGAGAAAAACATGATTTTCGACCATTGCGCTTCTTCTTTGGTCCCAATTATGGACACGTTGAAGTACATTTGGGTGCTACAAAGTAATATTTTGGTTTTGGAATTATGCAAAGTTTCTTGGCTTTCGTTAATGCAGACTTATCATTAGAATTTTAGTAAAAGTCTCGTGTGAAGTCACACATCCTTATCCGGATCGTGCGTCTGAAGGAATATTAATATTGAATACAGAGATTTCGCCAATGGCTATACCAAGTCTTGACATTGGAAGGTTCTCTTTACTCGTTCCGATGCACCAAATATTTATATAAATGTCATATTGACGCGTCATAATATCTCAAGAAGCTAATAATGGCTTAACATAAAAGATGATTTGTGAGTTTGGTTAATAAACGCGTCTTTTTCTATATATCTGCTAATAATTAGACCTTCAGAAGATGAAGTTCTCGTGAGCCGTATTCTAGAAAGAGCTATAAAAAGAAGTAGAGCTATCGATACGGAAGGACTATGCATAGTTGCGGGTGAAAAAGTAAGAAATAATTACAATCACAATTGTACGCGTTTATTTTTTCTATTTAGAACTCATTGATTGATTTTCAAGTTGCAACATTAAGGTGTGGACAATACGCGTTGACATACACTTTCTTGAGCATGATGGTAATATAATAGATGCTGCCTGTATCGCCGCCCTAACTGCTCTTTCGCATTTTCGAAGACCTGAAGTCACTCTTGTAGGAACTGACGTCACAATTGTATGTAATTTTTTATGTGGATTTCTCTCTTCTTCCAGTAAATACAAAACCTTTTTTTTTTTACATCAATTGTTACTTTACTTTTATTGATTCTATTAGCATCCAGTTGAACAACGTAATCCAGTTCCTCTAAGTGTTCATCACATGCCAATATGTGTGACTTTTGCATTCTTCGACAACGGGTGTGTATCATTAGTTTGAATGGTGGTTTCGATAGTTTTAATGCATCCGATTAAATTTTGATCAAGAAAAATTACTCGCTTAGTGAAATTTTAGTCGTTGATCCTAGTTTACAAGAAGAACAAATTCGCGAAGGCGACATGACAATTACACTAAATGATCACCGCGAGATATGTGCATTATCGAAAGCAGGCGGCATAGAGTTAAATATGGACAAAATTGTGTTATGCTCGAAAATTGCAACTGCTCGGGTGACGGAAATTCACGATCAAATCAAGAAAGCTTTGGAAAAAGATTCGGAAAGCAGGTGAGAGTCGATAGTATTCAAGTAATAAATATAATTTTTAGCTGTTCTGATATATATTTCTTTTCATAGAAAATTTGAGAGGAAATAGGAAATAGGCAAATTTATATTAATCAACATTAATAATATAGTGTAGCTGTGATATTAAAATTGATTTCCAAACATTTAATTTTTGTCATATTCTCGAGTTGAATCTTCTGTAGCAGTAAGCTTCTCTAGATTACTTTCAACAATGGTATCAGAACTGTATCTGTTATATTGGATCATTGAAAATATAATTTGTGCAGATTTTGGAGATTTGATATGGTTGTTTATAATCAGACATTTTTTAATCTGAATTCAAATGTGCAAAGTTAATTCAACACTTTTGTTACTAAATTCAAGATTAATTAATTATTATAATGAAATTATTAGTAATATTATATATGATTAAAAATAAGAAACCTGTTTTGGTGATTGTTCAGTACTTCAAAATAGAAAGATTTCTTATTTTGAGACTTATAAATTTGGAATAAAATAATTGTTTGGGAATTTCATATTTTCAAGACTTACAGATTTTGGAAAAAAGTATAAATATTATATAATATTCAATTATAAGTGTAAAAAAAAAAGGTGCAATAATACTATGAATTAATTGGTTATTTGAATAATAATAAAATCTAAGTTAAAATAATGCAATAATAGTATGAAATAATTAGATAAAAATATGAATTATTGCTATTGAATAAAAGTATAAGAAAAATATTACTATACTTAAAAATAATCTGTAATGATAATAAAAAATAAAATAATAATAGAATTCTTTGCTTAAGAGTTTTATTTTGCAAAATTAATTAATAATTATAATGAATTTAAGTACTGATTAATTATTATAAAGTTTGAGATAGTTTTCATTATATGAAATTTTGAGAACTTTGTCTTTTATTAAACAAAATTTATAAGTATCTTTATCAAAAATGTTATAAATATAGTATGAATCTTTCTATTTTTTTCAAACTTATCATGATATCAATGTTGAGTTTTTATATAATTCATAAGAACTTTGTTACCAATCTGAAAAGATTTTTGAACTTTGTTTTTATCATAATATTTTTTTGTTTGACTTGAGTTTTTTGAATATTTTGAAGTGCTAATTTTCAATTTATTAATTATAAAACAAATATGATAAATAATTTCAATTTCTATAATCAAATTTAATTAATCAGCTGATTGCAATTCAATATTAATTGATATTATTACTTGTTAATTAAAATGATTTAAATCAAGTTATATTTGATCTTATAGTTCTATATACAAATAATATTAATGGTAACAATAATTTCAATCTTGTTTATATAGCTGAATATATCTGGTAAAATGTTTAATTTAATCTTTCAATAAGATTATTAGTTTGTAGATAGTATAGTACTAAAAAATGATGTTTTATTTAATATTTTTCAATAAGTTTCTTTATGATTTTTAAGATTCAAAAGTTTCTTCGGGTAAAGAAAAAATAATAATATCATAATTTTCTCAAATATTATTTATAAAAGCTGTTTCAAGTCTGAGATAATTTCATTTGAAAAATTATATATTATATCTTTATATAAAATAATAGAATTATAATAACAGCTATATTTGATATAATATGAGCTTTCCATTGCAATATGACTATTAATAAAAGTTATTTTTAATAGTTTCACTTCTAATAGTTTATCTTCTGGAAATCTCAAGTCAAATCCAGCATCAGTATTATATGCTTTTTTAGGTTCTTTGCCTTTTTGTTTGTCAAAATAAACTTTGATTTTAATATCATCTTTTTGAGTGAATAGAATTTCTTTATTTAAGACAAAATACTGGTATTTTTTTCTTTTGATTGTTAATTTCAAAGATAAGAATTTTTCATTTTCAATCTACAATGACTTGATGATTATGAGCCCAAATATTTCCTAATAAGAGATCATAATCTCCTTTTTCAGTTACTAGTGTATTAATATTCAGATTTTGATTTTCTAAAGTTATTGGTAGATCTATAATTTCTTCAAGTGGTCATTCTTTATTTCTATTAATTCCAATTAAATTGATATTGCTTGGTTTTTGAATTTTCCAATTAATTTTGTTCAAATATGCTTTGGATACAATATTACTAACAGCGACACTATCAATTATGATTGTAATATCTTTATTTTCTACTTTTCTAGTACAGTGCAAAGTATTAATAGGTATTTGTTTATAATTATTTTCCTGTTCATTATTAATTAATAATTGTTCTAAAAATTATTTGTTTGAAGAGTTTTTATTTGCTGATGCACATTCATTTTCTGGAAGTGCATTTAGAAGTTTAAAGGCTATTCAGTATTCAAGAAGATCTTTTATCAATTGTTATTTTGGTTATTATTTTGATTATTATTGTCTTGTCAATTATTATTATTATCTCTATTTGAATATTTATTATTGTTATAATTATCATTGTGCTAATTATAATTATTGTCTTTCTTGCTAAAGCATTTTGCTGCAATGTGTCCAATTTTATCACAGTTATAACAAGTAATTGGTAAGTTGTTATTATTATTATTATTATAATTATTGTTATAATTATTTCTTTATTGATTATTTGAATAATTTTTATTATTATTATTGTTATTATTATATCTATTATTTTGTCAATTTTGATTGTAGTTGTTTGAAACTGTCAGATTTTCTAACTTTGTTGCCAGAGCTGCAAGTTGTTGTGAGACTTGATTTAAGTTATTCTTTATTAGCTATTGAATTACTAAAATATTTAATAGACTTGTTGTTGATGTCATATTGATAATATTTAAGTCAGTGAATTGTTGGTAGTTTGATCTATATAATTAAGTAGTATGGATAGCATCATCTAGAGTAGCTGATCGAGTTGGACTAACAAAGAATTTTATTTCTGGTTTTAATCCTTCAATGAACATTATTACTTTCAGATGTTCTGAATATCCATTATCTAAATCAATATAGTAAAATAATTCTCTTACAGCAGCAGAATATTATTCTACTGTTTCAGTTGATAATTGCTTTTGTTGATTTAATTGTTGTTGCCATTCATATACCTTATCAATAGTTCTAAATTTTTATTTAAATTGATAGATAAAAAAACTGCTAAATCTATTAGGCTGGTAGGATTATTTGGATTCCATTGGGTTGATCAATCTGTTACTAAGACTCTTTTACTAGCTAACCATGTTCCAGCAGATTCTTTCAAGTATGCGCCAATAATTTGTTGCTTTCTAAGATCAGATATATTATTAGTTCAACTTGTATTTTCAAAGTCTTGGAGCCATCTGATAGGATCTTGAGTGTCATCATAGAAGTTAATAATTTTGTTTTTTCTCTTTTTTGATTATTATCAATAACAGTTGCCAATTGATAAAGATTATTAATCAGATTATTGAATTGGATGTTATCTATCATTTCTTCTTCTTGTTCTTCTTCTAATTCTTTATTATCTTCTTCTAATTCTTCATTATCTTCTTCTGGTGTTGGCAAAGATAGATTATCTTGAATTACTATTCGATTTTCTGGTTTTTGTAATTCAAATAAATAATTCTTCTCAAAGTTTTTGTTATTTACAGTAAATTAATCTTTGTACAAGGAAATCTGTAGCTTCTTGTTGAAGATTGTATAAGTATATTTGAATTTCTTGATTTATTGATTTAACATTTGTATCTTTTGTATAGATTATATTAAAGATATTCACAAGCTGGTCTTTGATTTCTTTAAGTTGTGTTCTGGTAAAATTTTCTTTCAAATCTACTTTTAAAGCTTCAAATTATCTATTGATTTCAATGGAAATGAATTTTGTTGGATCCAGTTTGAGTTAATAGTTATTTATTTACAAAGAATTTGTTTGATAAATATTTGATCAAAAATTCTTTTATGTCACTTAAATATTTTACTCAATATTTTTTAATCTCACGAATTTAATGTTCTTTTGCTCAGTATTTTTTTATAATAATGTTTTATAATACTTTTGAGATTTCAATTCACAAAGGATTCTTTTATTAATCATTGTTTTTTTTATAACGGAACTTTATAATATTTCAAAATTTCAATCCACACAAGGAATTTAATAATTATTCTAATAGTATTTTCAAAATAACACTTTTGAGATTTTGATCCACAGAGAAAGCACCAAAATTTTGTTACTGTTTTAATAGAACTTTGAAATACTCAAGAGTATTTATAATATTTAAAGAGGAAACTCAAATATCTAGCGATAATTCACAGTTTGAATAATAGTTTATGACTTTAGACTGAATATAAATTAAAATATGATAAATACTTATAAGAATCACTTAAAGATTGATAGCAGTTGTGATTTTTTAATGTAATAACTGAACTGCTAAAAAGAGTCTTCAAAATCTCAATGTCAAATATAATATACGTATTAAAAATGTCTTTAAATCTTTGAAGTTAAATATAAGATATAATATTCATATTATCAGCAATATGAGATTGAAGATAAATATATGAACAATGTATTATTAGCAATACAAAGTCAAAGATAAGTTTATGAGCAATGTATTATTAGCAATACAATCTCAAAGACAAATTTATGAATTATAATAATAATTCCTTTATTTAATATAATGTTCAATAGACTTCGTCACAATGTGTTCAGAGAGTCTAGAATAAAAATGATAACTTTATAGCACTCCTGGTAATACTGCTTAAGCTACTATAATATATGTTGATTCAAGATCTGTATAACTTCTTATAAAACTATTATACAAGAAACAAGAATACTTTGTCAAAAGGGTGTAGAGAGGAGTTTGCACTTGACTACCTACTTTACATAAAGTGCAAACTATTTTTTTTGAACGATCAAAACTACGTGATAATTAATTAGACATAATAATTGGGAATTACTATCTAAAAGAACTTGTTCATATCTAATTCTAACAACTATGATATATATTGCTTTTATACAAATCCAAGATATAATTTCTAGGCTATACAAATTCATATTTGCTATATCACTTAAATTCTATCGGTTAAATATTCGTTCACTTGTTTGTTCGCTCGTTTGTTTAGTTATTCGTTTGTTCGCTCGTTCGTTTGTTTGCTCGCTTGTTCATTTGTTCGCTCGTTTGTTCGCTCGCTTCACATGATTTGATCTTTATCCAATAAGATATAAGATATATATAATCCAATAATAAAATATTATAATGCAAGGTCATTATACAACAATATTGAATCTTTAAATTAAAAAATCAAGTAATTAATAAAAACTGAAAATTAAATTATAATAAAATCATAAAAAAATACTTATATCCTTAAAAACTGCATCAGGATGTGATCACTCATCTACATTAAATATAACAGCATAACCATCTGGGACAGTTGGAGGATATTCAATTGGCATGAGGGAGTACATTATCTTTGTTATGCATATATTACATGTAAAAAATGCAGTGACTGATTCATCATCTTCATAATTATTCTTGTTTTTTTCTTTATAATTCTTTCAATCAATAGATTTTAAATAAATATTTTGTATTAAAGTTCATTTATTAGAATTAAACATCTAATTATTACCTCACAATCAAATTCTAAATCGGCTAGATCAACTTCTTCTATATCATCAATGTCATCCGAGTTATCATCAAAGGCACTTGCCATCTTAGATTTGCTTTTGCATAGAATAAAAAATTAGTATTTGCTTACAATCACACCATGATCATTCATCGTAACTGCGACGTAGTCACGTAATCACACTGTTGTTACATCGTAATCACCATCGTAACCAATCATAACCATGTCGCGATCATATCGTAATCGTATTGTATTCACGTGTCGTGATCATGTTGAATTTACCGTTGTAACTGTCTGTGTCACGATCACATCGTGATCGTGTTATATTTGGTGTCATGATCGTTATCGTATTCGTAATTACGCCATCGACGCCACTTATTTCTTAAAAGAAAAGCCTTACCTTTTTGGCGGCAAGTTCTGAAGTGTTAAAAATAAATGGCTTTATACAAAAACCAGCGTATACAAACTGACCAATGCTTTGACTGTAAAATAATAATTAAAGCAGCAAATTAAAACAAACTATACACAAATTGACCCATGCTCATCTGAAAGTATTTAATAATTAAAGCCACCGATTTACTGGTACTACTCATGCCACTCTCTTTTTGGTTGCTTGGCTTAAAGCCATGAAACCAAACGTTGACAGCAAATCCTATTTGGTTGGTTTTATCTGAAA